GCATTGATTTAATGCTTCTAAAATCTCACACAGACCGAATGCTTCTGAAGGGTACGGTGCAGTTTTGGGTTTGTTTGAAGTGTGTGGTAACAACCTCCTCGCTCACACCTGCACCAGGAAGAAGCAGCTATGGACTCTTAGGGAGGCTCATTTCTGCAGGTCCATGTTACAGGGGGTGTCAGCAGGACCCCACATTGGACACTGGCACCAGGAGCATGACAACCCCCCTGAGCCAGCAGCATGAGCATCTTTATGCTGAATCCAGTGCACTTTTCACATCCACCATGTGTTCTATGTTCCTCCAATTTCAGCTGGGAGAGCAGGTGCTGATTTTTAATGCCTATTTTGTTTTAAGCCTCCTTTCATCAGATTAAGGACCCTGCTATTTTATTTCGCTTTGTATTTTTTTATGCTCAGTAACTCAGTCACACGCAAACCTAAAACCAGAAGCTGTACCATGCTGTTAAAGCACAGTCACCCACTGTCTCAGTTCCTGGGCACGAGGGGCTCAGGGCACTGCTCATCCCCTGCAGATGGCTCCTACAGGAAAAGCTGGGGAGGTAAACGGAAAGGCAAGTGGAGAACAGTGCTCGGGGTGATCACCTTCCCACAGTGATGCAGCACAATCCCTTCAAACGAGCTGCTGCACAGAGCCTGAGCTTCCTTTTCTGTCCTTCCCCCCTGGCAGGTGATGTCAGATCAGCCCATGGGGCGCAGAGCCCGAGGTGTCCCCACGGCTGCTGCACTGCTCTCCTGCCCAGATCCTGACTGCCACAGCTACAGCCTGCAAAGCATTTCATGGGCCACGTTCCTTCTGCTGGAAAAGATTCAGAAGCAAACCCAAATCTCTCTCCACCAGCCCCTTCCGCCAGCTGCCTCCTCCCAGCCGTCAATAAACCATTAGCCTCCGAGTCAACAGCGCTGGCTACGACACACAAACACTCAACTACCTTTTTCATCCAAAATCAATGTTGTATTTATCTTCATTGATCTACAAGGAAACTGAATGTTTAAAATTACAGGGGGTGCAGGGGGGAGGATGGGGAGGGAGGGGAAACAAGAGTTACAGAGCCAAGAAAATAGTAGCGGATGGCTGAATTAACTAGAGAGAAAAAGCCCAGGATATATAAAACATGGACACTGAAAAATAAAATAAGGGAAGGGGGGATGGTACAGCAAGTAAAACATGGCAAAATTTACATATGGATGAAAAGTAAAATTGGAAATAAAAAATAAATCATGCCAAAAAGCAGTTCAAGGCAGAACCACACTGAAACAAACATTTGCTTATGGTCTTCATGTACTATAGATAATATATCAGAATTTCTTTTTTTTTAATCAACCATTAGACTTTTTTTTTGCACTCCTAAAATTCTACTTTGTCTTGTATACAGATTCCAATAAGAACACTGCACAATTAGCACAAGGGGTCCACGGAAAATTGTCCTTGCTTGCCAGCGATCCTGCCCACAACACAAAAAAAGAGAAAAAAAAGGAAAAAAAAATAAGGAAAGGGTCTGCCGCATGGTACTGTGCCAGTTCCATCTGCTTTTGCCAGCTTGAAAAGTAGGAAACCAAAATTCCCTTCCAGAAGCGTGTGTCTCTCTCTTTCCTTGACGAACTGTCCCTTGTGTTTGTACAAAAAAATTCAGTCTCTCTTTTTTTTTTTTTTTTTTTGCTAAACACAAGCATCATTCTTGCTGCTCACATGCCATGGCCATTCTGTCTCCAGAGTTGCGAGTTGGTTGTTTTTGGGTTGTTTTATTTTTTTAACCTTCCTCCCCCCAACATCCACTAAGACCTGACCTGCCTCCGAGTTCTTGCATAGTTGAAGTATATATGCCGTACTTAGCTTTCTGAGTGTGAATTTCTGACTGTGACAAGATTATGAGTTGTAACCATGTTAACAAATAACCAGAGTGGTTCTAGAAACCATTTTTATAAAGTCTACCTATGTTAAGAATTTAATATTGGTGTACATTTATATTAACAGAATATTTACAGTTTGTTTTCTTTTTTTCTTTTTTGTTTAAAACAAGAAGTCAAAAAAAATTCATCTTAAATTTCTGCATAATATAATAAGGCACAGTTTTGTACATTATTATTATTATTAATATTTTAATATATATCTGTAACTTCGGTTCCAAAGTACCAAGGTAAGTGATCAATCGGCCTCAGAAGGGAACCTCACAGTGGACTGTAAAACTACAGTATTTCCATAAATAATACTTTTAAGAAACCCTGGGTATTTTTTTCTTAAGGATCTGAGGCCTTTAAAATGCAAATTTAACTAAAAACGAAAGCAAAATTTCTTCTTCTTTTTTTTTAAGTGAATAAAGAGCACAAAATTAAAAAAAATACAAATTCATTAAAAATGTTTCTCACATTTGGGAAAAAATGTACAAACTTGATATTCTTAACTCACTTTTTTTTTTAGCACAGAAACAAAAACAAAACCAAAAATCAATACCTATATATTAAATTCCCATTCTCAGCAACCTTCTTGTTGGAAAGTCCCCAACCCCGTTATTTATGGAAATGTGCTTAACTTCTACAAATTTTACATAAAAAAAAAAAGTTTACAGCAGTGCATTTTGTAAAAGGTTTTTTTCTTGATTTTTTTTCTTTCTGTGTTTTTTTGTTGGTGTTGTTGTTTGTTTGTTTGCTTGTTTGTTTTATGTACAGGTGAGTTTAAAATTCAATGTTGGGGACTATCGAGCCTCTACTTCTTTGGGGTTCCTAGAGGGGGAATAGTCCCTGGACTCTGAGTTTGTGAGTGGAGTAGTCCTGCGTGGGGAGGCAGGTCTGGTGCTGCTGGCTGGGACGAGAGGCGGTGGCGCGCTCAGCGCGGCGGTCGGGGGGTTCCTGTTTAGGATCCCGTTGTGCATGGCAGTGGATGGACTCAGTCTGGGGTAATGCATCCCGCTTAAATGAGGCATGAAGGATGGCACGTGTGCCAGGTGACTTTCGATGGGGGACGAGTGCAAGTGGTGCATTCTGGCACGCTCAAGTTCTTCCCGTAAGTGCAAGCGCTCTCGTTCCTCCACTTGCCGCAAGCGCTCCTGCTCCCGGCGGGCCTCGAGAAGGTTCTCGTGGTTGTAGTCGTGTGGTTCCCTGTCTCTGTAGGAACGCTCGTGGTCATAAAAGCCAGAGGTGGTAGGAAACCTATGGATAGGATCCGTCCGGAGCTGGAAGTCCATTCGACGGTGCAGGTCTAAGCTCCGGTAGGCATCTCGCAATGGATCCCTCATTGGGTCCCAAGAAAATCCAGGATGTGGCAGCCTCTCTCTTCCTGACAAAGGATTCATGCCTATAAGCGGGGTCATCATCCTGCTGCGGTCCAGAACATTCATGTTGTTCATCTGGTGCACACTGCCCATGGAGATGGGCATAGAGGCAGCCATTGAGTGAGGCAATGATAATCCGTGCAGAGTAGGTGGTGGGGGATGCTCCACGGATCGGGAGTGCTGCGAAGGCTCAGACCCTACCACCAGCACATCACTGTCTTCCTTCCTCTCCTCTTTGACTTTAATGTCATTCTTAATCTTCTGGAGGTCGCTGGGAAGCTCTGTCTTTCTCTCCATGTCCTTGCTCATTAGATTGGTAAGCTTCAGGCTCTCACTTAGTGCAGGTTTGCTGTACGGGGACACAGACTGGATGACTGGCTTGGTGTTGTCCTCAGAGGGTCTCTTATCATGGCTTGGAGTTTCCTTCACTGGGGAACGGCTCTCTTTAATCTTGTGTTCTGCTATGGGTGGCTCTCTCAGCCGCTCGGGGTGCTCTCGCTCCGGCTCTTTGGACCTTTCCCCGAGGCTCACCTGCCTGATGGGATCGCTGGAGGTCTGGCTGTTGCTGCGGATGAGATTGCTGATCTGATGCGTCACTGGAGCTGATGCCGGTGAGGATCTGTTTGAATGTCTGTTTTTATCCAGGAGGTCTCTGCAAAAAGAGAGAAGATACATCCTTGGTTTTGTGTGAACAAATATACACGCAGTGCTGGACCTGCACAGTGCTGTGCCCAGTTGTGTACTTTGAGATTGCTCAGAGAATGATTTGGAAAGCTCTGCTAGCACCAGCTATAGCTACGTACTACCTGCCTTTACCCACTACAAAGAAAAAAAATTGCTAAATGTCCACAACTCTGGGACATGTTTGAAAGAATACTATATTCACCCTAAACAAATATACACGCAGTGCTGGACCTGCACAGTGCTGTGCCCAGTTGTGTACTTTGAGATTGCTCAGAGAATGATTTGGAAAGCTCTGCTAGCACCAGCTATAGCTACGTACTACCTGCCTTTACCCACTACAAAGAAAAAAAATTGCTAAATGTCCACAACTCTGGGACATGTTTGAAAGAATACTATATTCACCCTAAAAGAAAGACCACTGACAAATGTATTTTTTTGAAGAACTCCATACAGCTTCTTTTTCTTTGAAAAATGCTTATTGTGTGCTCATGTATACATCTTGCTGCCAGACAACAATCCTCTCAGTTGTAAAACTTAACTCAGGTTCCTGTCCTAAAACATGGATCCAGGCACACAAAACAGAAGCCTACAGAAATGTATACATGTCCTTCCCATGACAGCCTCACTGACTGGAAGCAGCAAAAAGGAGAGGATAATTTTCCTATGGAGCTGCAGGAGTTTTTGTTGCCAGGTGCTTCAGGAGAAACATCCTTGAATTGGCCACGAAACTGCATAATCGACTTCTGTTTCAAGAGGACCTGCTATGATGAACAAGGGGTTTGATGACAGCACCCATGGTTTAGAAAGAGAGGTATGAGGGTTTACATTTCCAACTGCACCTCTGTCTCTGAGCAAGTCAATTAGTCACAGTTAATCCCACCTCTTTAAGGGGGAATAAATAATGCTCACCTTCTCAAAGCACTTTGCTCTGAATGAGAGACACTTTAAATGCAAAATATGATGGTGTGATTGAGAGAACTGCATTATGCAGCTGAGAGGCTCTCTGATGCCTAAGTTTTATGCTGGGTTTCCTTTCAAGAGCTGTAAGACCTGAGTACCGAAAGCTGGAGGTGTTTTGGGGAGTTGTGTAAGTATTTATGCCTGATGATTGCATTTGCTAACCCAGATTTCTTCCTCGGCAGTAGTCTTGACTGTGGGTCAAGGACGTGGTTTATTAAAACCATGTCCAAACAGGGAAGCTGGGGACAGCTTAAGCTGAATTAATGGAACTGTAATAGAGCTGTTAACCCCTGTGTGAACACTCTTGAGAGTAAAGTAACCTTGGTTTGCAAATGAATTCCACTAGAGCAGAGAATGGAGCTTCCTACCTGAATGACTATCTGAGCAAGGGTGTCAGACAATTTAACATTTAAAGCAAGATGATTTTGAGCCTATTGTTTCCATATAATCTTGTTCTCAGGTACTGCCTGAACATCTCATTAAAAGCACTCCAGGCAAACTAAGAACCCCCTATCACTACTCAAGCACACGCATCTGAGACTTGCAGGCCTACATAGAAGTAGCCTGTTGTAGACAACTGGGCTCTGAAGTATAAAGGGATTCACAGCTTCAAAATCACATAATTGGAAGCTAATGAAGTACCTATAGGTGGTACAGTCCTGTCATTGTTCCTAAGGGTTTGCCTACAATGCAATTTTTTAAGATCAGTTTTGCTAATGGATTCATGCATGCTGCTCCAGATACAGGCATTTGCATTTTTATCTCGTTAATGTCCAGCTAACATTGGAATTCATCAGCATATCTGTACATTAATGAGAACCACGACTGTTTCCAAAGGATCCATCACAGGGCTACCTTCATGATTTCAGAACACACAGCAATCCTAAGCAGCTGCATTGAAAACAGCCAAGTATACCCTGAAAACACAGTGACACACTCAATTCCTCAGCCTGGTGCTTTTTATTAACCTTCTAGTGGGGACTGGCTTACCGTATTTCCACAGAGGAGAAATCCTAGAAGGCAAAGAGAGTTTTGTGTTGCTAGTACTTGTGCTTATGTGAGGAAAAGGCTTATCAACTGCTTTAAGGACAAGCAACATTTTAGAAAAATCAGAAAAAGTACAGAGGGAAAATTGCCCCAGAAGGAAGTGCTCTGAAGCCCACACTGCTCACCTCTCTTTGTCTCTGTCGTCTTTGCTCAGAGAAATGTCTCTCTTCTCAGGCTCTCGCTCCCGCTCTCTGTCTCTGTCATGGTTTGTCACTGAGGAGCTTCGCTCCGAGTCCGTGGGCTTGGGCCACTGTGGAGGTGTTGGGAAGGATGGTGGGGTCCGATGGAGTCTATTCCATGGCTCGTGGGGATTATTGAAATTCTGCAGGTTGGGGCCATCTTTGTGAGTAAAAATGTTGTTGTGAGCTACAACAATGGCAGGGGGAGGAAGAGTTAAAAGTAATCCAAACCAAGTAATTATACAGACATTTTTCACAATTCTAATCACAACCAGAACTGTCCTTTCACAACTTTTTAATGGTGACGGGAAGCTACTAGCTAGTGGGCACAGATAATTCCAACACTGGGGGTGTAAGATCCACCAGCTCTTTTAAGGCTGTTGGTGGAGGAAGTTTTAACTGTACATTTGGGTAACTCACAGATGCCTGAAAATGCCCAGCTTCTCCTCTCCCCCCACCCCAGGCAAGGCTTCCAGCACAAAAGCAGTATGTTTCCTCAGCTCCTCTCACTGGCAGAAACTTTAACTTGTGGGTAGTTACAAGCGATCAGCTGCCTGCAGCTGAGGGTTCAGGGACTTTTTTGTTAAAGAAACCAGACTGTTTGGTGGTATGTATGTGTGTGTATAAACATAGGGCTTGGCTGTAGGCTTTTCAGGACAGTCACTTGATTTTCCTCCATCAATCTTCAGCTGATTCCTGTTGCACCATGAGATGCACAAGCATGTTCTCTTATGTGTGGCTCTCAAGCATGTTTGGCCTACAGGTAACATGTTTTTGAAGGAAAATTATTTTATACAGGTAATTCAAACTTCAGATAATGGTTACAGAGGAGGTCTACATGCTGAATCAGAAGTATCAATAGCTGTTCCACTATGCATCTTCACCGTTGAAGGGTGTTACTTTAGGTGCCCACAGGGTCCCAGAGCTCAGTGGGGTCTCACAGCTCCAGCACCTCTACGAGCACACAAGGTACCAACCTTCAGCAGTGAGGAGACACAGAGCACAGCTAGTGAGCTCTGTGACATGCAGAAAAGCTCCCACCGCAGAGACCTGGAAATCTTAGGTGCAGTGTTTTCAGATAGGAGAATGGAGGTTAGGAATTAAACTTCTTTAAAAACTACCACCAGCTGCTGTAAATATTAGCATGTGGCTTTTCTGGAAGGGATGTTTGTCTGCAGTAACCCAGCCAGTACTTACTCAGAGCATGACTGCCTAATCCTCCAAAGGCATTGCTGCCTAAGTTCCCAAGGCCGCTGAAGGTGCTTGACCTGCTAAATGGATCTGGAAAGGCAAACAGGGATTTAGCAGGCATTTAGCCAAGAATGTTGGAGAATGAAACACACCCCTCCCCTTCTTAACGGTCTGAATCCAAGTAGGATTAGGCCAGACTTTAAGCTGATCCTTCTCATTGCAAGGTTCTTTGCACAGAAAATTCCCATCATGTTAAAACGGAGAAGGGATTCAGTGCTCACTCTGCAAACAGGTGCTGTAATAAACTTTTGTATGCCAGTCAGAGGGGAGCTAGAAATTAAGGTCTAATAGCTGAAATGAGGGTGGCTGCTGCTGAGCTCTAACTCTCCTTCGTTATCACTACTAATAGTAGAAGTATTGCGATTGCTTTGAAAGAAGAATTTCAGCAGCCTCCTCAGCCAGCACACCCAGGGGCTGCATCATCTTGTTTCTGTATGCAACCTTCTACTCTCCCTGTAATACTGCATAGACAGTGCTAAGCTAATTGCTATGGACATCCAAACAGCCTGTTTGTGCCAAAATCCTCTCCCTTAATAGCTTCCTTAATCCCAGTGGTGGTGGAAATGATGCATAGTCTTAGAAGCTACTGTGACCAAGGGGTGGGAGGTTTGCATCCTTTGAGGCAGAAGATGTATCTTGCCTTTCCTGGCCACGTATCTTAGTATTTGACTATTGGCACTTTAGAAACAGTCCTGCCTTTTTTTTTTCCAGTACAGGCACCACCATCAGAAGAGGTTCCTCTCTGAAAGTATACAGCATGACTCAGATTTCTGCAATCCAGAGACAGCTAAGGGTTAAATCGTACCAGTGTACTTGTTTTCTTTCCTGCTGGTCTAAACAACTCCTGCCCACTGGCTTTTTGACTGTCCCTTTGAGGTCTTTAACTTGCCATCTTACAGGAGGTATGTTGCTCTCCACTTCCTCACACATATCCTCATATTTACAGTATCAAGGCAAATGGCACAAATAGCTTGGATCTTTGAGCAAACAGCTATTAGCTTATTTACTTATTTTAAAATGGATGTTCTTGCCTTTCCTCTTTGATATGAAATAGCTGAGTGACTCGGTAGAGATAGTTAATTTTGACAGAATGTTCAGGAATTGATGTAAATCTGGGTATTTGCAACAGAAAAAAGTCTACTAGGTCATGTGGCATGCCACATTTACTGATTGGATGAGTGTTACTAAAACATTAATCAACAGAGCTTGAACTTTAATTGGCAATGAGCTGCTTGTGAGCTTCTAAAATGAGGAAATTTGAGAAAATCAGGCTCTACTTACTGCCAATTAGGAAACTGAAAGGCTGGCAAAATGTGCAGAACAGCTATTTGCCAGGAACTGTTCACTGAACTTTTTTTAAGAACCTAGCCAAGAACTTTCATAGGTAGGAAATGGTAAGGGAGGAGCCCATTTTAAGCTGAGGCTTGTCTGAGGTACCTTTGCCTAAATTTCCCGTATTTTCCTGGGCACATTCAGCAGCACAGAAGGGCTCTATAGGTCCCTTTCAGCTCCTGTGCAGTGCCCCAGCAGACACAGATGTGACTGCTCTGCAGTGCCCTCTCCTCTTGCAGGAGAGGGTCTGCTCATCGTGCCCCTCTCCTTTGAGGGAGAGTGAGGGGATGTGCTGGGAGCTGGCAGGGCTGAGAAGCTGGCCAGCTTCTGGTTCCTGAGGCAATGTAAGCCTTTCCCTCCCCTAGTGCCACAGGACAGGATCACACTGGAGCCAGGAATGGGTCAGAGGTATAGAGGTGAAGGCAGGGTTTACTTACACTTACCTGCCAGGTGGTTAGTAGGCAGGAAACTGCTGTGGTGAGGTGAAGGACCAAAAGGGGTGGTGGCTGGATGTGTCGCACCTGTGAGAACAAGGTCCCTTTTTAGTTCAGGGGCAAGTGAGTGCTTGCACACACAGAGGTCCTGACCATCACACTCCAGAACTGAATGCAAAGGCCAGATCTAAACACAGCAGGTAAGACCCCAAACACCAGCCGAGCGAGCGAGAGGCAGATTTCTCCGAGAGCCCTATAAAGGAGTCTGTGGGCACTAGGAGGCAGGAGGAGACTTTGCACTGAGTGCTGCAGCTCACCTGTAGTAATGAGGAAACGAATCTCTTTGTCTGACATTTTCAGTCATTACTCTGTGTTTACACTAAAAAGGGTCATCCCAGGTTATGGGCCCAGACAGAAGGTGCTCGGAAGTGACTGATTAGAGTCTGTATGAAACACCAGTTAATGACAGGCACACAGGGAACATCAATCATGCCTCTCCCATGAGAGCTCCATCCACGCTCTCACATCTGTCTCTGCATCCACAGGCTCCCCCTGTGGTATTTTTTCCCTTTCCTAGACACTGCTTATTGCCATGGTGCCATGCTTCCTCGTGGGAAAGGAACACGCTGGATTACATGAGGCTGAGGCGAGGTGAAAGAATGGGCTGAAACAAGCAGGTCTGCCCTGTATTTCAAGGTGGACCAGGCTCGTGCAGAAAACTCTGCCCTTCTTTCAGAGCAGAAAATGAGAGATTTGCTTCCTTTGCGGGAGACATATGTAAACCTGAATGGGCTCACAATCGCCGTGTGAAAAGCACTGGTGTAACCTGCCACCAGGATATGTGGGTTTTGAGGAACGTTAACTCAAAAGTATCCTGCAAGTAACAGTATGGTTGGGCAATCTCACGGGCCTGGCTTTCACTCCCTGAGATCAGTGCAGACAATTTTCAGGATGCACCTGAAATCAGCTTTTGAACCTTTAAGTTTCAGGTGTGTCTGCCAAAATGCTTCTACAGCTCCAGTGACAAGACCAGCCCTCTCCAACTGTTCGGGCTGTGAACCTCCTTTTGGTGCCTCCTCCCTGTCAGTCTTTGTCTGACACTTTGTCTACAGTATTTCCACTACTGCAGACAAAGCAGAGTTAGCAACTATCATAACTTCCAGCTGCTGCCTGGATGCAAACACAACTTCTGCCTCCCTTGCAGAAACCAAGACCCGGTTCATGCCATACCTGCGCATGAACTGTCTCATTTTGTTAGAAACTAGTAATTCCACACAATGACAGAAGCAGTATTTTCCCAAGGGCATGTTAAGTCATGTGCAAAATAGACCAACATCTAAATAAAACCTTACAGTGCTTGTCTGCTTGTATTTTGTTGGTAAAAAAGTTAACACGGAGGAGTAACATGTCAACTCTAGCAAAAGTGAGCAGCCATACTGGGCACAAACGTGGGCTCTTCACTAACAGCTCACCCAGTCACTGCTTTCTCAAGTGATAACTTTCGATTACAGAAAAGAGGATCATGATCCTTGTCCTCCCACCTGGCACTCCAGCTCTCCTGTCACATTCACCACAAAGACTTGTGCCTCATCTGTAGCCCCTCGTGATTCCCACCAGTGGCAGACCTCATCCCCAAGCCACATCAAATGCATGTTTTCACCATACAGCATCAGTGCTGATAACACAGTGGAAGGTCATAGCAAAAGCGGAGGGAAACGGAAGGAAGAAATTAATATGCACGAGAGAAACTGGATCCCAAACACAGTCCAAACAGCATTTTACTGAGATGCTGGTCAGCCCCTGAGCTGGCCTTCCCTGGTGACAGAGCCCAGCCACTGATGGTCATTGTAAAACACACTCATGTGTCCAGAACATGAGCAGACTATGAAACAGAGAGGGAGACAGCTTGGGCACCTCAAACCTAAGCAGCCAGAAAATGAGTTGAGGAAACTTAAAGAGAGACCACGGCAACGAGACCTGGAGTTATCTATAAACATTCTGACTGCTCCAATGCTTCAAGATGGATGGAGACTGTCATCTTTCTAATCCTTTAAGATTTCAGAAGGTGTATAATGGATGGGAGATTTCTTCAAAGGAGACGGCTTACAAACTCAACTACACGGGCTGATAATAAAAAATCCTCTGGAGAAAGCCAGGAGCAGCATTGCAGGCTGTCAGGTAGTTATTAAATATAGCGTCTGCCAGGCAGCCCAACATCCGTCCTGAAGACAGGTGGCCCTAAGATAACTTATGTCTCCCACAGTAACTAGGCAATGCAGAAGAACCAATGATTCACATCAGCTGCACACGTGTTCGATAAGGTGAAAAGAATGCCTCGGATATTGCAGAGGGAAAGATTTATTCATCTATATATTACAGCTGCAATGTTTGCTCACGTTGATATCACTCTTTACCTAGATTTACCGTGTGATGGCTCTTGGATTAATATACTCATGGACACGCTGTTGTAAGGTTGTTTATCTCTAGTGAAAGTTTTCTATTAATTTGCTTTCTTTAATGTGTCTATTCCATACTGTTTCCCCTCTTGCTTTTAAGAATGAAAAGCAAGCCATGCTTCCATCTTTTAAGAGAAAAATCTCCAGATACCAACTGGACTGGTGTTTTTCTGTCTGTTAGGGTAAATTCTGCCCAGAATGGTCTTCAGTGGCTAAACCAGACATGAAACAATGTTCTTTTAATGACCACACAGGACAGACTGAGGACAGTGATAAGGAAGCACCTGACATAGAAGAACAGCCAAAGGTTTGTAAATAACCTGTGCTTATGCACCCAAGAAGATGCAATAAACATTCTGGCCCTGTACTACTGAAGTACCTTTATAGACACCAAAATAAAGGGTAGCACACTACAATGTACTGCTGGTACCAGCACTGATTATATGTGGTAGAAACATGCATTTGATACTTAGGGATTTTCATCCACAGACAAAGCAGAAACACAGACAGACGCACTGGTGGAGTTCCTGAAGGCTAACTGACATCTGCATTTGAAGCTCAATTCTCACAGAAATTTCAGCTTGATCCTCATCTGTTGCTTTTCTGTCATGTTTGTGACCGAATTCAAAACAGTTCTAACTTCATTCATTTCAACAGGGTTGAACCAAGGCTCAACCTGATCACGTCTGCACTGAGTTAGGGTGATTGCGCAATATTGCATCATAAAACCAAAGGAACACTAGGGAAGAAAATGACGTTATTTGCCAAAGAATTACATACATGAAGAGCTAAGATACTTCTCGTCAATGGATACAGTGCATTCAGAACACAGACTTTAGCATCTCAAACACAGGAAGAAAATGTGAAGAAGTCCAAGGGGAAAAGTTAAGCCTGGGAACAGAATAAACCCAACTTTGGCATTTGGCAGACAGACATCCACATGAATTCACAGTGATCTCCCAAAGCAGCATGTCAGAGTTGCAGGCTCCATGGTCAGAGTCATCAAGAACAGCATAGTGAACCTTACTGCCCTTTGCTAATTGCATCATTGTAATTACTTCTCCAACAGATTGGAAAGCAATTGATCAATGTAAACTGTATTTAATTCTTTGGGTTTTTTTAAAATTCAATATACCATTTTATGCCTTAGAGTTTGCTGGACTTTCTAACACATAGGGGAATTTTCTATTTAAAAAACAAACACTTCACAAATACAGCTTCTGTGACATTTTCAATGCTGTTATTGAAGTTCTGCTTCTACAAAAACCCCTTGTTTTCATAAAACAAACAGAAACTTGGTGAGTGGAGGAGCTGAGAAGAACAACATGGCAAATATAAAAGCAAGAAAGAGACTGGGGCCACTTCCAATCCTGTGCAATGGAAACATTTTCAAGTGTTTTGTCAAAATTGCTTTTAAAAATCACTCCATAGCCTATTAATCAGGCACATAAGAACCAGCTGCACAGACATGAATGTAAGCCAACTGCTGCAGCTCAGTGACGTGCAGAGGATCCTGCACTGGAGGTGGTGGCAGAGCTCAGCCCAGAGCTCCAAGAGTCCTGGTCACAGCAGGGACCAGCACCTCTGAACCATCCTTGCCTGCTTCTGTTTTTGTGGCATCTGTAGCTGTAGAGACACACGTGACATATAGTGACTGTTCATTGGTTTGGTTTTTTTCACAACAAGTAATGATCTTTCCTTACCTGTGGTAGAAAACAGAGGCCTGGCAAGGTCTTGTGGATAATGGAAACCTGGAAACACTCCAGGGGCGGGAGGTCTGCTGAACAGGTCAAGTTTACCACCTATCTCAAGCTTGTGGGGATCCAGCTGCATTTGCTGTCAAATGATATAAAAACAACCTTATTATACACTTCCTTCTTTTCATGGGAGAAAAGGAGAGGGAGTTAAGGCTCATTCCTCCTTAGCCCTGCCAGGGAGAGTTAGTGAGAGTGACAGCAGCGTCTCTGCTCACGCACTGCAGTCGTGCTCTGACAGCATCTGCAAGGCCATTTGGCTCCTCAGCCTCTCGGCTGCCTGCCCCATCCACACGGATAAGGTCTGAAGTGAGTGCTCAGCCCCTCAGCACACACTGCAGCATGCAACATGATACACCGAGCGTGCTGCACCCCAGGATCAGGCAGTGCTCTCAGCCTGACAAAAACTGCTCTGCAGGCACAAAGCTGCCGACAGAAGTCTTGAGAGCTGGGTGATGGGCTCGTCTGTTCTGCCTCTCCAGTTTGAGAGAGACATGCCTACACTGTGCCCTTCCTGCAGCTAGGACAGCTCAGTTATGCAGACAAGGGGCAAAGGATAAAGCAAGCTTCAAGGCTCCTCTGGAGGCTATTTCTATCCTTGCCCTGTAGAAGTGAGCATGGCCAGAACTGCACCTAAATCTCCCAACAGCTTAAAGATTATGTATTTGCTTATGAAAACATATGGACATACACCACTTGCAGAGGCACTACTTACAGAGCATCTACTTAAGCACTGAATAGTCTTCAATAATGGGATAAAAAAACACAGCAGGAGCTGTGAAAAAACTAAATGCTACACAAGTCCCCATACCACTGCCTGCCACAGGGAACCTCGAGCCTGTAACAGCACCTCAGTGTCCCTATGCCCTGTTACTTCTGGAGTTTTAACACCCTCCCTCTGCCCACCATCACAGCAGTGTGGGAAGCACTGCATCCTCTAACACTGGAGCTATCAATCTGCTCTCTGCTTTGTAATACATTCTTCTCTGTATCGGCCACTTCATTAGCTCCTCCACAGGAGGTACTAGTACAGAAGGGAAATGACATTAAATGTGTATGCTTTGTAAAAAAGGTGGACTTGGGGGAAAATTACTCTTCCTCTTGCTTTCTTTGTCTCTTTCTGGCTGTGCACTTAGTATCTCCTGTTCATTCTGCTACCCTTCAACCCAGCTCCTTTGCCCTCAGATAAACTTTATGGTTGCTACAGTAAATGTTAAAGGAGTGTAAGTATTAGTTAATCAATACAGGCAAGCTTGAGAATCACCACAGAAACTGCTTCCTGCCCATTACTCACTAAAATATAATCTATAAGCTGAAAGACTTGGCTTTGTTCCAGAAACTGTCTGAATTACCTTTATCTTTTGCTGGTGATGGTAGATCTGCCAGGCAATCTGTACGTGAACCGCACACCACTTCCCGGGTTTCTGCAATGGAAAGCACAAGAATTTAGATTAATTTATACGTTAGCAATCTACATCAGAGAGAACATTTCATTTCCCTTACTGTCAGCCAGGCAGCGAAGTAATGAGAAAGGCTGATTACTAAAATGGCACAATGGGTGATCAACATTTTCTTCTGTACTGCAGCAGATGATGTTTAAATTAAGAAAGAAACAGGAAGAATGTGGGATATCTTCCTCATCTCATGGACATCTGAGATCCCTGCCTTGTTCTTTCTAACTTGCACTCCCTCCTTCATAAACTGAAGTGAATGGCAGCAAAGAACAGTATGCCATGCTTAACAGAAAGCAACTAACAGTTCACAGTTGTGTTTCTGAAAAGAATCCTGTTCATTCATCCCTGCTGCACTGCAGGCTAAGTCATGCGTGGTTATTATGGCTACTTGCATTTGGGGAGGAAAAGGCTATGGACAATCACCAGGATGAGCAGTGCCACAGCTGAACAAGTCACTGCTTTCAGCTGAGCTGTGGCACTCACTGTAGGGTGTTTATGTGGAACATCAGAAACACACTGACCCAAGCCACCATGAATCTGATCACTGGTGAATGTCTGCCCATGCCTACAGCCATTTCTTTCTGTGACCATTATTTCATATCAGGAACTATTAATGCACATAAATGGATGCAAAATAAGCTCGGGATTCAACTAAACAAACGTTATTAATCAGAAGCAGCAAAGAGCTAACTATGACATTTTGCTTTAAGTAAAGGATGAGCATGACATTTTCTGCTGGACATGTCAAATTTCAGTAGCACATGCACAATATTTGAAGCATCTGTGTATATATATGTATATAAAATCCCCCACAAACCTTACTTACTCTTACTGGAGGCCTATAAGGGTCTGACACCTACGGAAAAAGCAGAAATAAAACAATCAGTCTTTCTAAAACCAGCCAATATACAGAAAGGTAGGGAACTTCCTCCCTCTGAACAAGTAAATGCATTTAGAAAGCAATGTTCCAGTGAAGTCCCCTGTGACATGGAAAACCTAAAAGGCTTAAAGAAGGCTTAAAACTTCTCTTTCATTCCTTGCACCAAACTCAGCAGAATTTTATGATAAACAAAGCAGCTTCATGCCAGTAACTGAACAGTGCCAGTGCTTTTCTGAACCTTGTAATCGTTCTGAAATGGAGTGCATAAAACTTCTCTCCAGGCAATGCTTAGGGGAAAGATATTGAGGGGGTTTCCTGCCCCATTTCCCTCTGACTTTGTTTGAATTCACGACCGGTGGTGGCTACTGTCTCACCAGAAAAAGAGACTTCTGTCCTGACTGCACATTCCAAGGCTAGAAGGCAAATTTGCTCGCCAGCTTGCTCTCCTTTATTTATGAGCAATCACTATGTTTACTACATCCAGATAAGCTGAAAGGAAGGTTATATATTGTTGCCTACCCCTGGAGTCTTCTGCAGCAGCGTATGGTGGACTGTGCCTGGTCTACCTGCTACATCAATAGGGTTTGAAGTCTGAAAGACAAGAATAGAGCGTGAATAATACTGTATCATACCAGCAGTACATTTAACATCTCTATCTGATGTTAACGGCATTAATTAGTTCATGTTTGCACTGTGCTTTGAACAGGCATATTGCTACATTAGTGCTAAATGTTATCTCTTACTGACAGCCAACAGCATTTAACCACCATGTCATCTATTATGATTAAGCAGCAGTAACAGTATCCCAGTAGCACCCCCAAGCCCCAGTGAAATCACACCCCATTGTGCTATGCAGAGTGCAAGTGCATGGGAAGAGACAGTCCCTGCCCCACAAGCTTATTCTTTAGGAAAAACAGGCAGGAGGTAGGAGAGACAACAAGAGGTGGCCTGAGTCCCTCCATGTTGCAGGCAGCAACCAGTACAGCAGTTGGGAACAGAACAACTCAAGCATCCTAGTCCCATATTCCACTCATTGGGACCATGGCCCCTCTCTGACTGGGACCACATAACACAATGCCTAAACCAGTGACAGCCCATCTATTTGCTTCGACAAGGCGAAATGAGAAACCTTAGAAGGTGCTTGTGGGTCTTTTATAGCTTTGCATTGTTTATCCCATCATTTTCCAGCAAGAATTAAACACCTCATTGAGTGAATCCCTGTTCCTCCTCCTCCTCCGGATCCCACCTGTTGCCCTGTCCTAGATGATCCCCAAGAACTCATTCGTCTTCTCACTCTGGCACTGATCCATCTCCCACTCCCAGAGCAACTGCACCTGGTGCCTCCACACAGCTGAGTGCAGAGGGTTAAACCTCATTCCCCAAGAGACTATTTAACTCACATTTTAGGTCAAATTACAGTAGATTTCAAACACTACAAGGCATGATTATACCATGGGTGTGGGAGGGAAGATAGGTTTTAATTTGTCTGAGGCTACGTAACTTCCAGACTCACTAAAAAGAGAATTCTTGTGTGTGTGTTTGTGTGTGTAGGTAAGTCAGTGCATTCCCCAGGCAGATTGGAGCTTCAGGGCCTCTCTGACAGCTGAGGTATATATAAGGTGGCAAATAAGTTACAGCTATCATACAGGCAAGAGCTTTAAGATCATAACATGTTAATAGCATGGTGTCATCCTGTCCCTTTGTCCCCTGGAGAAAGATGTGAACACTTCCTCCAGCAAAGTAAACTGAATACTTCTGACCTTTTCAAGTTCTTAGCTTGTGAGAAATGGCCTTCGGGAAACTCACTGAGAAGTTTACCGTCAGCCTGGATTTATGTGCAGTGGACTTATATACACAGCTGTAGGCAACTGACATGGGAAGGGGAAAAACAAAACCAAGACCTCTGCTTTGGAAAGCAAGGAGTGCAGGATTTAGCGTGCCAAAACCAAATCATCAGGTCTGTAGTGATTATGAAGGCTTTAGTCAAACAGCTTGGGAAGGAGAGAGCATGGAAAAACGAGGCAATAATGATGACTGGAGTGGCTTTGCCTAGCAGTTCAGCTCTGTCTCCTCCAGGAAACTGGAAAATAATGTGCCAAAGCGGCAGATTCATTTTTCAACCTATCCTTCTTAGATTGTATGTAAATGCAGCACTGTCCAGAGATCAAGTGATGTCAGTGATTAAACATGGCACCAGAGTGTGACCTTGCACTGCTTAAACTCAAGCTACCAAATGCTGGATGTATCTATCATTAAAATGAATTAAAAGCTAGCTGTAATACAGCACTAGGAACTGCTTAAAAATCTAAAGCGTCTGTGCTTGCTTTTTCTTTCTTGCTGTGTATCCGCTTTCCTTGGCCTAATGCTATGTTACAGGGAGATGGGATCTGTGGAGCTCTGTGATGAAGATGGAAAGCAGAAGAGCATGCCATGGTGTACCAGCAGCTCCTCATTAACAGGAGCACAACAGAACCCCAGCCGTACGCCAGCAACATTTTGCCAATTCCACCTTACTTGTGCAGCTCCTTTTATTGGAAAATCAAGTTCACACCCTGACAACTCGGGGGTCTGTGGGGACTCCCTGACATCCCTTGCAAGGATAACAACAATTAACACTGGCAGACAAACTCCATTAAGGGATGGCCATCTTCTGTCCCTCTTGTTCCCCCTGCTTTGATGAACTGCTCCTTTTCTAGGCCTGCAGCCACTACATACAGAACTCTCTTTGAACAAAGCCATTTTAGAGACTTCGCTATTTGTAATGTATCCATAAAATAAAATCAAGTCAAGGATTCGATGGGCACTGAAGAAATACTCTGGCTTTCATTCAAAACATTAAGTTATGGGGGAAGGTTGTCAGAGGCCTTATTTGCAGCAGTTGCTAATTACTGACTTCCGCTGACATGGATGAGACTGTTGAGGGAAACACATCCCACAGACCTGCCTGGTATAGTTAGGGAAATCACCTTCCAAATGCAAACAGGAATGGCCTGGCTACAGTGCCGGTCCTTCAAGCCTTCTAACACAGTAGCAGAGCTCTACGGAAATGCAGTTCAAGACAAGAAATCTCTAAAATCACAGTAGGTAAGGAAGCTAAACACATGTCACCTATCAAATGGAGTGAATGCTCCATTTTCAACTACTACATAGATACAATCCATCTTGTTTCTTGTTTGGAGAGATTTAACAGTTTCATTACATTTAAAAATAGTTAATAAAAAGAGCATGTCTGGGAGGGGAAAAAAAGCAGTGCACACCACAGAAATTGCCAAAAATGGGGGTTATCATGGCAACATTTCCAAATGCCAATCAGTGCTAGTTGTAATGATATGTTACAGCTGCAGTGCACCTTTCAAACACATTATCTCAAAGAAGCTTGCAGGCATTAATCAACCCTTATAAAACCCACTGCAAGATAACTTTATAGATGAGGAAGCCAAGGAACAGAAGGTTTAAGCGACTTGCCCAAGGTCAGACAGTGTTGGAGCTGGGAATAAAAATTCAGCTCCTTCAAATTGCTCTACCCATTCACAGCAGTCTCTCCCTATTGTTCCCACACTTGTGCAGTCAAAATCTCATTGTTTGTTTTTTCTGGGAGTAAACAGAGTTTATCTTTTGCAATCTCAGACCATTAGATTTATATAATGATTTGGGACTCATCAGGCTATTATGAGCTGTAAATATTTCAATCAAATAATGCATTTGACTGTATGCTTCTTCTCTAGTTTCAGCTGACCTCCCAAGTGAACCACTATATTCTTTTCCAAGGAAGGATCTGTAGTGCCAAGAGAAAATTTCTGCTAAAGTGTTGGCTGCTTTGTGCAGAGGATGCTCACAGTTCTGTGGGGTGATTACTTCCAACCCTGTGCTGCACTTCTGCTAGTTAAATCATGTGCTACAAAATCACCAGAGACATGACTCTGAACACAGTTTCTCTCCCAGCAAAAGAACAAAGCCTTCAGAAGAAGAAGTTTGTACCTTCGGTTGAAATGCTCCCTGAAGTGACCCAAAGGGACCTGAATGTGGAAGCATGGGTGGCATTCCAGGCATTGCTGGAGGATAGGTTGGAAAGAACTACAAAAGAAAAAGAGATGCTTATGTCACAGGACGACTTGAACAATAATGGAGGTAGGTGCCAAGCCTGGCACATACAAAAATAGTACTGTGCTGAACAAGTGCCACAGTGAAAATACACACTGAATTTGCTTTCAAAATTTTTAACAGCAAAGCCAAAATGTGGAAAATGTGCTCATCTGATGAATTTTCTAGATAGTGCTGAACGAGTGTGACTTTAAAAATTGTGGACTATTGCAGGAAGCACAGAGCATTCACCATTTTTAGAGGAATCTGAATGATCTGGGGGTTTATGTTCACTTTTGGTTAACTCTGCATTTTTCTGCAGTTGCAAACAAATTGATCCTGTTTTGAAATGTGACCTGCTTTAATTTTCAAAGCAAAAAGGAATCACAAGATGCTGCACTGCACTCTAACCACAGGCAGCATGCACACCACCTTGTAGTTGTGTAGGCTGAGTTACATTTTGCTTAGGCCTCTCCTGAGCACATACAGCAGTTTTACAAGTCCCAAAACATGTAGTTTTTGTGCTTTGGAGCAGTGGGGAGCACCAGGAAGAAACCACCAGTCTGACTTACTCCTGTGACCTGAGCAAAATCTTGTGAAAGAGCCATGCACTCCGGGCTGCTGCACTGGGAGAAGCACCAGCTGCAAAGATACTGCAATGACCACTGATTGAGCAATTCCTGCGCATTCCCTGCCATCCCAGGCACAGCAATAAAGAGCCACAGCAGCAAAACCGCAGTAGACAGAGATTTTAAAAAAATAAAAAAAAGCCCAAAGAAAATTTTGTACCTTAAAAAACAAAAACTGAGAAAGAAAAAGAGCTTTAGGGATGAATGACTCAAAACACTACTCATCAATCGGAAACGAGCAGAAGAAGAGCAGGCAGAACCACTGATGAAGAAAACAAGTAGAAAGGTGAGCACTCACGTTGGAATGTCGAAAGTAAGGGCTGTCTAACTTGGGAGCGTACTTGTCAAACTGGAAAGAAAAGAGAAAAAAGGGAACAGGTGAGTTTGGTTTTGGCAGTAGCAGACACATCAGGATTTCAATACAGACAAATAATCATGGCCATGTGTACAGCACTTAGCAGAGCAGAACTGACTGGTTCTTCCATACTCGCTCATCAGGGAGCTGACTGATTTCCCAGGGATGGGAGGCACTAGCCCCTGGGATATGCTGGGTGCTGCCAAGTCTCACTGCAGAGCCCTGCCTCAGGCACTGCCTGGAGGTTCCTTTACTGGGAGGAGAGCAGTCCTGATACCTGCAGCGCAGCAAAACTCGGGGAAGTTCAGCTCCAGGTCTAGATCTGGGATCTGTCCCTGGATCACTGAACTAGATCACAGACTAGTAGGTAAGGAACATTTTCCATTAGACCCCAAAATCTACTGTGGGGCAGCCAGTACCAAGTTTTCTGGGGTCCTGTAAGCACCAAAATTGTCTGGGAAAGGGCTGAATTACATTAGATACACAAATCTTGATATATTTCCCCTCCCCTACAAAAAGGAGAGTGCTCCTGAGAAAAGGTGATTGTTAACCTCTTCCATTCCAGCATGGGGTTTTAACACCTCCATGTGTGTAGTCTGTGCCCCATTTGTCCTGTACCATCTTGGAAGCAAAACCAAAGCACATACACATTGCATTTCTGAACAGTATGTACATTCTGCTGGGGAGGAGGGAGTGGGGAGGAAGGCAGGGAAGGAAGCTGTAGGACCCCATGAAAAGCTGCTTATTTGGCAAGTCAGCTGCTGTTTCACACTCCTCTATGTGCAGGAGAGCAGATTTGTAATTTCATTAATTACAGTTATTACTGGAGCCATGTCCCCTCCAGTGTAAATAACATAAATTACCAAACACATGCAGCTGTAAATTTCAACACTCTTCCCTGGTGTTGGGATTAGCAGACCTGATCTAGTGGAACATAAGAAGATGTGAACGAAATATAACAAAAGAGTCTTGCAAGGTTTTTTAGGTTTGGCAGCTGACATTAACGGGCAGGGTGAGACGGGAGGGAGCTGCTCACAGACTTGGGTATCACGGGTCTTAAATAACACAGGAGACTTCTAAGAAAAGATTCTGGATTGTTTTACACAGACCAAGAAAAGAAGGGCAGGTGTTTACACACGAGTACATTGAGCAAACACCTGGGGCTGGATTTTTGGGTGGATGACATTGCTTATAATTGTCTTGCTGCTAAGCAGATTACAACCCAAGAATACCATCGGGCAGTCAGCAGTGGGAAAAGAAAGTGAGAAACATTATGCTCCTTGAGTCCTTGGTTCTTCTTCCCAAATGCTGCTTTGGCTGTTGCTCCTGGCATTTGCTAGCCTTAGCAGAACAGGGTTGTTTCTGCATTTTGGACACAGTGTGAAACTGAGAGGGGGAAAAAGCTACATCTTGTGGTTTCAATCTCACAAAGTAATTGCCAGAAATGGGGAGAGAGTGCATTTAGAAGTACTGACAAAATCCATTTGTAGCAGATCTCTTAACAATTTTGTAACAGCTGCAGCAAAGTCCCATTGTGCTACAAGCAAATTCAATGACAAAACACTTATTACACAGCCAGGAGGATCTCTCCCACCAGAACCAGCCACACACACATTAGTGCTTATGGATGTAATCAAATAACAAAATGCCAAAATCAATACAGATTTGGAATCAGGAGGAAGAGGGACAAAACTTGTATCAGATGAGATGCTGCACTGTGGTGAGAGCTCCAGGTAAGCCAGCACGGTCTGCCCTGCACCGAGCAGTTGTGGGACTGTGTTTGGGACTGGAAGCCACTCATCCTGTGGCATCCTTGTTGGTATCTTTTGGTGTGTCATGGCAGCTGGCTCTGGGCAAGGGCGAACAGAAATACACAGCAGGACACACGAAAAGGAAACTAAAGGGACTCTGGACTTGTCTCATGGGTGCTGTATCTGCTCACGAGTAGCAGCATGAGGGACCTGGAGGCCTGCTGGGGGCTCTGGATGGAAAGGACGTCCCTTCGGGAGCACTGCCTCCGGGTCAGAAGGGCAAGGACAGCACACCTGGCTAAAATGAAGAGGGCTGGGTTTTGTTGGACAAAAGTGGGTTAGGCTTTTTGACCAGAGATGCTCTACTTATCCTCACATTTTGGGCTGGGGTACGCACCATGGGAGGTGCAGAGGGCGGCATGAGCGGCGTCTGGGGCAAGCTGGATGGAAAAGGAGTGAATGTGTGCTGGTGGGTGTGTTGGTGCTGATGCGTGTGTTGGTGCTGGTGAAACTCCGCTCTCAGCAGCGGCACCGGGCCAAGTGAGGCAGCGGCCCGGTCCGAACTCTGAACCAAAAACCGGTTGTTCAGCTCTTGCCTGAGCAGTTCGTGATCTAGAGGAGAGAGAGAGAGAAAAAAAAAAGACACAGAGGCCCGTGGGCCTGTGAGTACCACAAAGACGGAGGAGAAAGAGTCAATATTCACCTGGCATTCCCTGTTTCTGCAGGTCATGCTGTGGTGGTTTTCTACGTGAGGACTCATTGGTGGAGGTAAGAGAGATGCCTGTGACAAAGTACCAATCAGAATCCCCGAATGAGGCTGGCAATACATGATTGGTTGGTTGAATGATATCAACAGGCTGGTATCTAAAGACAAGAGAGAACACCATGAGTCATCACAGCAGAAAACATCATGGGGGCGTCAGCAAGCT